GTTAAATACAGGGCTGCAGTACCTGCCCAGCACTTTCAGATATTCAAATAGAAGAGAATTCTAGGTATAGAATACACTTCTGAGTATTCTCTACCTAGAAAACCCTGGAAAGGGTAATCATAAGTCAGAATTAACTTGATAGCACACAATTATTATAGTTCAAATATTCAAAGCACTTTGCATGCATTATGTGAAGTCCTCTATAGATTTTGAACCCCTTCTGTGAAATCATGGGAAGGCCCCTTCTTTGGTTATGACAAACGGGGATTTGAAATCAAGGAGAACCATCTGGCTGAATTCTGGCCTGCTTTTGTCTTAAAGGCAATTCTAACACTAGGTCAGGACTAATAGCCTGTTGCAAAAAAGCCTATACAAGTCTTCCCAGCTGACTCTGGGTGGGCTCTATGTTGCACGCCTGTACTCACAAGGGTTGCAAGGTTGGTCACAGCACAGATCATGCCATGGGGAGCCTACGGGAATTGTGGGGGAGGAGGTGGCACTTAGGCCATGTCCTCTTCTGCTCTGCATTAAGGCAACAACAGGATACCTACAGGAACTCTAACCACAGAATCTCCTACCTCTCACCTAGCTAAACCTGGCTTTTAACCAGAATAGGAGGGTCCACTGGAAACTTTGTGCACCTATCTAATGATGTGAATGCTTGGAATAAACCCAGAAAAAAACGGGGGGGGGGAATCAGCCAGTATATTTCATCCCATTTGAATCAACCAATTTTTGTTGCTAGATAAAGAATGAGCATTCAGTCAGGATGTCAAGTAGGCTGACAGTAGGTAGCATAAATGAAGTGTTTGACATTCTGTTGTATATATAAATCAAGTGTTTGACTTTGTGTTGTGTATCTCTAGCATGAGCTGCAAAGAAGAATCTTGGTTCATATTCATCCAAGCGCTTCCTTGTGGAAATTCTGAAGAACAAGATGAGGGCATGCAATTGGGGGAAACAATGTGGAGGGTAGTTGAGATGAGCAGTTTAATTTCATCCGCCTCTGTAGATAAGTGGGAAGGAAATGCACAATGCTTACACAAGATGTCACTAATCAGCAAGGGGGAATAGACTGCAGAGAAATTTCAAGGTTTCTGAAGAAGGTGACAGCCTTCTTAGATCTACTCTAACTACTATGAATAAACTTAGTTGCTAGCTACTTGGCGCTTTCTATGTGAAGTTAGTTGCACTTCAAGTCACTCTCTTTTCCCACTTCTCAATACTCAAGTGAAGGGACTTATTTTTCCTGGACACTGATCTAAGAATCTTTACAGAAAGCCAATTAAGAGATATTAATTCTCAGGAGCCAAGGTTCATTGAGAAAATTTGTTTCCTGCTAGGTAGCAATGTAATGGGATTTTGAAATAATGTAGTAGCCAAAGGGACAGACTGTATGGATATTTATTTGGAAAAAAGGTAGATCCTTCACTCAGGTCTATGACTGGCTTATCATTTTAGCTTTGCTTGCACTGTCAGATGTTTAGCCTTCTAAGCATCTTGAGTGATCAGGTGATGGTAAATCATGTGCTATGTCTCTGTCCTAGAAGTGGTCTGGTAGTTTGTTTGCATCATACAGAGACTGTGTATTGCTAGACACGCTGCAGTGTTGCTGCTTCACTTTCGTTCTAGTTTGTTTTGTTTGCGTCATACAGAGAGTGTGTATTGCTAGACACACTGCAATGTTGCTGCTTCACTTTCGTTTTTGCCACTGGAGGCAAAATAGTACAACAGCATAACTCTTCAGGTTACCTGACTTTTCCTGGTAGATTGCACATGTCCCGGCCAACCGAGTCTCCCCCTTCTTAAAGAGAGAGTGTTTTTCACTCTTCAGAACTGTGTTTGCGTCATACAGAGAGTGTGTATTGCTAGACACACTGCAATGTTGCTGCTTCACTTTCGTTTTTGCCACTGGAGGCAAAATAGTACAACAGCATAACTCTTCAGGTTACCTGACTTTTCCTGGTAGATTGCACATGTCCCGGCCAACCGAGTCTCCCCCTTCTTAAAGAGAGAGTGTTTTTCACTCTTCAGAACTGTCCAACCTGGTGCGCTTCTGCCTCCCTGTGTGTGGATCCTTTGAGTTTAGGGCTTTGGCTTTTCTTTGCGTGGCACAATGTTTAGGCTTTTAAGACTGTTTATTTTTAAAAGTGTTGGGGTTTTTGTTCGTTTCATTTCATTTTTGCAGCAGCAGCAGTGGCGGAATTGCAGCCCAAGAAGATAAACAGAACACCTGTATCCAGCAAAAAACAAAAAAACAAAAAAACACACACAAAAAACTAGAGTCCGTTTTCCAATCCCCACGTCTAATGTTCGGAAGGCTGGGGGAAACGGTCTTCTCTAGGGAAAAAGCAGATCTGCATCTTCCTAAATATGATGCTGACCTGCTTTTCCGGTGTCTTTAGAGCAGATCTTGGAAAGTCACCCCCATCCTCAAAGAAAAGAAAAAAGAAAAGAATAAAGCTGTCTGTAAAAAAGAAGTTAGAGCAGGATGCAACCACAGTTAAGTGAAGGAAGATTTCTGTGCATTACTGTTTGCACTCTTATAAGTAACTTTCTAAGCTCTGCCTATTGTTAAGTGAAGGAAGATTTCTGTGCATTACTATTTGCACTCTTTTAAGTAACTTTCTAAGCTCTGCTTATTGGGCGAAGAGAGAGAAAGAAAGAAAGAAAAAGAAAGAAAGAAAGAAAGAAAGAAAGAAAGAAAGAAAGAAAGAAAGAAAGAAAGAAAGAAAGAAAGAAAGAAAGAAAGAAAGAAAGAAAGAAAGAAAGAGCAGGGTTCATACTGGTGATAGCATTTTTAGCTACCGTTCAAATCCACTTTAGTTATTAGGCCTTTTTAGGGTTTGACTTTGGCAACTGTGCCAATGGTTGAGTTAAAGAACCAAATTGTCAATTTTTAAATGAAATTTATCATTTTCAGAATCAGTGGGAAATGAATTTAAAGGGAAAGAAGATAGCCCCTGGAAAAGCTGGGCCCAAAGCACATTTTGCTTCTTGTTTGCATCCTGTATCATTAGCAAACTAGTTTCTCCGTAGGATAAGCACTACATGTCTGTTATACAGTTAGGATCCCACGACACTGTTATGTATCTATTGTGGATCAACTTTCAGATTCCCCCTCCCTTGGTTAACAACATGAATGCTTTTAAATTTCTCCAGCTGTTTCTTTATGTTCATGCTACTAAGAATACCATTTTCAATCCTCTATATCCCATATTTAATAGTAATAAAATAATTCTGTGTCACCAGATCAATTCCAATTCATAGCAAGCCTTCCAATGCATAATGAGTTACATTTTTCTGCACCCCATTTTTGCAACATGTTGTATTACGTTTCCAACTGCACACCAAAAGAATGAAAACAAAATCCGTCTTGTGTCAGTGTAGCACACAGTCCTGCAAATCAGATTTCTGTGTTTTTAATGTGGAAGCTCTTGCATAGTGGGAAGGTACTAGCATCATGATTTTAAGATGCAGCTCCTTGAAGGATCACCTAAAGTCAGCCACAGAGTGCTGAGTATTCAGAGAGTGGCTGCTTTCTGCTCCTGCAATGTCCACCTAAGGAGGCCAAGCTGTCCTGGACCCATTGAGCTTGAGAGCAACCCTGTTCTACAGCAAGGCATTTGCCCAAACATGACGAAAACTGAAGGACCTAAATGTGATTTAGTGGCAAAAGTGGCTTTACAAACATTTTTTAGACTACACCTCCCTCAATAATTTTTCCATTGCCTCTGCTGGCTAGGGTTGCTGTTGTTTTGATTCCTATACTGCCCCCTAGTGCTTAGAGTGGCCAACGATGGTGAACCTGCAGGCGTGCTACAGCTGGCACACGCAGCCCTCTTTGTGGGCACTCGAGCCATAAGTCACTGGATTGCTACTGTGTTTTCCCGAAAATAAGACAGGGTCTTATATTAATTTTTCCTCCAAAAAAGGCATTAGGTCTTATTTTCAGGGAATGTTTTATTTTACAGTCATGTCATCTTCTGGTTGCTGCACAAGGGTGGAGGGCAGGGTTTCACTTACGTGGGGCTTATTTTTTGGGTAGGGCTTATATTACGAGCATCCTGAAAAATCCTACTAGGGCTTATTTTCAGGTTAGGGCTCATTTTCGGGGAAACAGGGTAGCCCTGGCAGCCAAACCTGAGGAGGCGGCTGCAGCCACGGATCTAGCATCCTAACAGGTGGCGGGCCAGGATCCAGAGCAGCTGGCGCTGGGGGTGGCAGGCCGACCAAGCTATAGGCAGTGGTGAGGTTGGGCACGACTGGAGGTGGGGTCTGGAGGCACCTCTGTGCCCGGGATTCTCCCCATTTTACTTACTTTGGAAGGGTGGAAGCCTGAGTCAGCCTTGAGCCAGGTACCCAAACCCACTGGGATTGAACTCAGGTCACGAGCAGAGGCTTGACTACAGCCCTACAGTTTGACCCCTGTGCCACAGGGCTGCTTTTGAATAAGAAATGAAAGCCATGATTGCCAATCATTGGCTTCGAGTATTAGGTTGGGCCTTTGGAGGATTTAGGTTATATTTCCCACCAAGCTGTGGAAATCACTGGGTGACCTTGAGACATCTACTCTCCTCTTAGCCAGACTTATCTGGTAGAGTTGACATGAAAGTAACATCTAGAGGAGGAGAACTATGCACACCACCCTGAGGGCACTGAAGAGAGAGTGGGATTTTTTTTAAAAAATGGCGTATGTCCTAGAGACAGATGAAGCAGGAGACAGGACATCTTCCCCAGGATAATCACAAGAAAACAAGGAATACCCAATGTGTGACTTTCAATGGCCAATTGGCCATCCATTTATTTCAGACCTGGTTAGCGAAAAGGATACGTCCTGATCTTTTGCGCCTGAAGCGTATAGGTATGCAGGTACATACATGTTTTTTTAAAGGGCTTTTCTTATTTTTTTAAAAAAAGTGTTTCCTTCAATGCTTCTGAAATAATTTTTTTATTTTAAAAATATTTACAAGTACAAAGTAATAAATACCTAGCCCCTGAATTATTATGCTACTTCTGGAAATTGTGCACAGTTTAATAGTGTGGTGAGATTAAAATCCCAGACTCATAACAACTCCCGCTGAGGTACAAGTGGGCACAAGGTGGAGATGGTGTTGCTAAGGGGATGCCGACGGATCAGAGCCAGGAGCCAAGCTGAGGGGAATCCTGGGGCTTGTCATCAAAACGAAGACGACAACGGCCTTTTTCAATCTCTGTTACGAGAGAATCTCAGATCTAAAGCCGTGCTCCTTTCTTCTCCTTCTTTCTCAAAGGCTGTCTCTGAAAATGCTCCTGAGATCGAGGCAGGAGAGGTTTCACAGAAGTGGAACTTCCCCACCTGAAGCTGGTCTTTCATACGCAAAGGGCCCCTTTTTCAGACTGACCACCAGCTTCACTTGAACATCTTCCCAGTGATGGACATCTTCTGTAGGAAGAGACACTTGGAGCCCCTCGGAGCCAGATCCTCCCTCTTGATGGCGCTGTGCCTCTTCGCCTCGGTTCTGCTCTTGATTCAGAGGTAGCTGATCAGGGAGTGGTTACCGGCTGTGGCTTCCGCCCCTCCTGCTGCTTCATTTTGAGAGCCATCATAGCTCTCCGATACAAATCTGAGGAAGAAAGAAGACATGGCTGACAGAATTCCTTCTCGGTTTTCTTCCCCCTTTTGGAGGGGCTACATCCAATGTAGGTCCCAAAGAGGGCTGACGTGAATGGGACTTGCGAATCACAACCTTCTTAAGTCCCACTGTTTTCAATGGGCCTACTCTAGTCCAGATTGTCTTTGGGTAAATGCTGTATTACTTTGCTCCACTAGTTTTAAGAAGCATAAAAATGCTTAAAAAGAGACACAAAAATGAACTGTACACATATATAAATAACAGCCGTTGTGTCTGTCCCCAGGCTGGTGCCCTCCAGATGTGTGGGACTACAATTCTCATTATCTCCAGCTAGCATGGGGACAATGGGGTTTGTGGTCCAGCACATGTGGAGGGCATTAGCCTGGATGGAGCAATGAAATGGACTTTGGCCGCATGACCACCATCATGCAAAAGAGCCCTGTTCTTTTTTCCAAAAGGTTTTTATTGCATGCTTCCCATTTCACCTGTCATCCCCGGGTGAATTTACTAGAGATAACACTAAGACAGAATTTTACATACATTTCTCCTGGTATTTGTGGTATCTTCCAATGTTTGACATTTACTTATCTGATCTAAGAGCCTGAAGACTTTACATTTTGAGGGATTACAACTCCCCAACTCATACTTTCCAGGGTTTTTTTGATGTTATACAAAATACTTCTTTTTCTTTGGCTACCATTTCTCTTAACTCTCTATATTTTTACCCATGACGTTAAGTCCCACTACATTCAATGTTGCATATTCCCCAGCTTTGCTGAATTCAAGCTTTCTCCTGGACCATTGTGAATGGCTTTCCTTAAAGCTAAGAATGTTAGTACAAAAGCTCTAATTCATTAAGATCTTATTAGTTAAAGGACCCAGTCTAAATAATCATCACGGGACCATCAAAGGACAAAATCCGCTCTTTCCTTCTCTACGTATAGATTTGATCAAGACAGCATGAAATAACTTTTTCTTATAATTGGAGTTTTATACCCTTGTGTTGTGATTTTCTATTCTTTCTTTACAGTTCAAAAGTACAGCAGAAAGAAAATAGCTCCTTTGATAGGCAGGCTGTACATTTGACAAATGCATACACTTATTTTTCTAGGAAAAAATAAGCCCTACCATTCAAACAAAATGCTAAATGAGTGGTCCTTCTGGCCTACTTGCAGCATGTTACAGACAGATATGGCTGTCATTTGTTCTGGCAGTAAGGAAGTGGGACTGCCATCAGCTCCACAGAGGTGGAGTCCTATGCCTTTTCACAGATGCAACCTCTCCTATTTAGGAGCATAATAAAGAGGAGCAGATTGATACAGCTCTTAAAGGCTTGGGGATCTTGTAGCATCCCTCCAGTAAGTGTCAATCCTGCTTCCTCATCAGTCTGCCTGTCATTTGCCTGCAGTTTGTCCCAAGAAAGGCTTCAAACTATGAAGATGTTTTTGTACTCTCCCCTCGCCCCCCAAATGCCATGGTACCAAGGGGAAAGGGCTCCTTAATTAATCCTTGCAGTAACCATTACGGATATATCGTGAGCCATCCCACAAAAACCCTCTCCCATTGGAGATGCATGTACCAAATGTTCCCGAAACTGTCTCATTCTGTTGTGTCTGGAATGCTTCCTGGCTTTGTATTTTATTCTTCAATATCTTATTTTTCTTCTTTGTTTGCTGTCCTGGAAAAAAAAAAGGACAAAGACACTGGAGGTAAGATCTGGGTGAGCAGATGTTGCACCAGCATGAGTCAATGAAACACATCTCTGTAATCAGTGTAGTGCCACTTTTTTAAAAAAAACATAGTTTGATTCGCAGTCATATTTATGTATTTTCTTTGTATCCCTCATTTCCATAAAATATGCCCACAACAGCAGGCATATACAAAATCCACAAAGGAAGTCACAGAACAGAAGACAGAAGATGCATCAAAATCAAATAAAGGGATATACAAATTGCAGTCAGTTAAAATATCATCAAACACAGACCAGAAAAGTAAATGATCCACGTATACATCCACAAATGTGTCCTCCACACAGCTTTATTGAGTCCTATTATGGTACAGATATGATGACGTTATTACAGCTTTCATTTAATTAAAATGCTCATATCATCAAACACAGACCAGAAAAGTAAACAATCCACCTATACATCCGCAAATGTGTCCTCCACACAGCTTTATTGGGTCCTATTATGGTACAGATATGATAGCGTTATTATAGCTTTCATTTAATTAAAATGCTCTTAAAACACTGCAAAAAAAGTTCTGTGGATTTTTTTGTTACCCCGCATAACATTATTTTGAGGAACATGAAAGCAGGGACCCATTTTTCTTACTCAGAAGAATCACACAAGGAGACAAAATGGTGCAAAGAAATAAATGTCAAAATCCTTGAGGTGGGTGGGAGAGAAAGATGGAACAGTGAGTTTCTACTGAGTGCTACAAAGCACTTTTATCTTTGCCAAATAGGTACCTGCTTGAAGGAGAGATGGTGTTACTCAGAGAAATGGCCAGGAAGAATTGGCTGGACTTCCGATAGTATAGTGGACCCTTGACTTACAGACGGCTTGACTTACAGACTTTTTGAGTTACAGACTTCTCTGGCCGCAAAATTTAGGTTTGACTTGCAGACTGAGATTTGACTTACAGACCAGAAAAAAACCAAAATGGAACAAAAACGGCCTGTTACGGGATTAATCAGTTTTCAATGCACTGTAGGTCAATGGAGACTTGACTTACAGACTTTTTGACTTGAGAACCGCCTTCCAATATGGATCAAGTTCTCAAGTCAAGACCCCACTGTAGTCATCACTCTGACAACGACTCTAGATTATCTTGCTAATAATGGGGGATTAATTTGGTCAGCAGTTTATGGAAACTTTAATTGAGAACTGGCCATGGTGCTTAATATTTATTGCAAAAGTCTCATAGCAGCAGCTAACCTCCAATTCTCCTATCGAAGAATTGATGCTTTTGAACTGTGGTGCTGGAGGAGACTCTTGAGAGTCCTCTGGACTCCAAGGAGAACAAACCTATCCATTATGATGGAAATCAACCCCGAGTGCTCACTGGAAGGACAGATCCTGAAGCTGAGGCGCCAATACTTTGGCCATCTCATGAGAAGAGAAGACTCCTTGGAAAAGACCCTGATGTTAGGAAAGCGTGAGGGCAGGAGAAGGGGACGACAGAGGACGAGATGGTTGGACAGTGTCATCGAAGCAACCAACATGAATTTGACCCAACTCCAGGAGGCAGTGGAAGACAGGAGGGCCTGGCGTGCTCTGGTCCATGGGGTCACAAAGAGTCGGACACAACTTAACACTAAACAACAACAACAACCTCCAGGAAGGGCAAAGGTGCAGGGAGTGGTGGAAGAGAGAAGTGATTGGGAAAATCCTGTCCTCCCTCCCTGGCTAAGCTATATTATTATTATTTTTCTTTCTAGATGCATCGATCAGTGATAGCTTCTAAAAAGCATCACCAGCGTTTGTTCAGCAGACACTTGGACTTCTGTGGATACAGTAAATATAATTTGTAGTGTATTTTGAAACCTGGCTTCTCCTTACAGTCTCGTAAAGCAGGCTGTTACTACTGCTGTATAGGTTGGAACCTACAGCTGAGAAACAGAGCCAAGCCAACCTCATCACGATATGGCAGAGGTGGCATTTTCTCAGAGGTCTGATGCTATCCATCAAATCCCACTGACTCGACAGTTTTGCTAATGATGTCACAAACATGCAGTGGCCACAAACATGAGTGGAGGTGAAAACCATCACCTCCACTCAGCTGAGTACTGGAACATTCTATCAGGGTTACCAAGATTGTCTGCCAACATAGCCTCCCTTCAGCCTTTCCTGTTCCCTTTGGGTTTTCCTGCTAGCCTCACTATAGTCATATAGCCTGAGTAGGACTTGGGAGACCTGGGTTCAAAATCCCACTCAGCCAAACTGGAGCGATCTCCAGCTCTTGAATATCGGGATTCACATAAAAAGGCAAAGCAGGTCGAAAGAGCTTGCATCACTCAAACTCTGCTGTACTTTGTTGATGCACTTCTCAGAAAGCCATCCTTCTACATTGTTATTGCTTTTGTTTGTTTGCTCATTCTTACGACATCCATTGATCACCGTGGGAACCTTTATCTAGGACACAACATTAATCTCTGCCAATCCATGGCAGTTAGCTGCTTTCGTAACCTTTACAGACAGCTGCAGAGTCCAGATTAAGCAAATCCATCACCCCTAAGACATCACAGTTACCACTTTTAATGATTTAAGATCCATTTAGCTTTACAGTGGTTCCCAAACCTGAGTCCCCCAATGTTCTTGGACTGCAACTCCCAGAAGCTGTTACTAGCTCAACTAGTGGTGAAGGCTTGTGGGAGTTGCAGTCCAAAAAATGTCTGGGGAGTCAGGTTTGGGAACCGATGATTGTTGTTATGGATCCATTCAGCTACCCACATTTCTGGACTTCCCTTGTGGACCTCATGCCATGATGAACCCCCGTATGTCAAAAGGTACCAATAGAGCATTGCTACGGCTGCATCTATTTCTACCACTTGTAAGAAAGGGACGTTTACCTGGCGGGGGCAGAGATGTTTCCAGAGCTCTGGGGTTCTCTTGGGCAACCTTGTTGCTTTGGAAGAGGCCTGTGATGGCTCCCACTTTGCTCCTACCTGCTGCTGCCGTTGTGCCGTTGTCAGGGTCAACTACGGCATTCTCAGGCGGCACCAAACTTTTCTTCTTCACCTTGGCCTTGGCTTTCCCCTTCCTTTTCTTGGGTGCCGTTGATTTTTCCTCTTTCTGTTTTTTTTTTAAAAAGCCAAACAAACAAGTGTGTGAAAGCGTTATCCTTAAGTTCAGTTTCAGAATTTGCCACCCCAAACGCTCCTGCTCATAGAGGGTCTGTCACCCCCTAATGTTCTTCCCTGCAAATGGATTGCCACCCCAAATACTGTATTTTTCTGTGTATAAGACGCCCGCCCACTTTTCTAATCCAAAATAAAGAAATCTAAATGGGGCTTAGCAAGTGTAGGGGGAAAGGGATCAAAGCACTGCAGGATCGCTTTGATCCCTGCTTTCCTCTCCACTTGTTTTTGTTCTCTCCTCAGCTTACTTCTGCGTATAAGACGACCCTCAATATTCAGTCCAAAAATTTTAGACAAAAGTATAGTCTTATACATGGAAAAATACAGTACTTTATTTCCCTTATTGGTGAACCATTTCAGTGGGGCTGGGCTGTGACGTGGTTACCCTATTACTTACATGCCATGCACAGAAGAACTGACTTGCTACCACGGGTTCCCTCTTGAAGTCAGTTTTTTTAAAGAAGGAATGGCTCAAAGCGTCTGTCCTGCTCCAATGGTCACCCTTTGCTGGTGGGGTGGGGTAGACATGGCCTCAAGGAGGAGCAGCCATGGCTCACCGTTTTAACAGTCATAAATGGCTGAAGTGCAAACCTTCACTAGAATCACCCACGCCCCACAGGAGAGTCCAAAAAGGCAGCTAGCAGCATCAATGATCAACTCTATATCACCGTTAACAAACCAGCGATAGCAGTTTTGCTCTCTAAGGGAGCAAGTCTTTTGTAAAGCTATTATTTCTTAATTCCCCATTTGAGACGACCAAGCCACCCCGACATTCTGCAATAACAGCACAGAGAGTTTAGAACAATAAATGGTTGCTGGAACAAGGACATTTGTTTGCTTTCCTTGGTGAAGACTGCAGCTAAACTAGAGGAAACAAGGAGGCCTCTGTCTGTCTGTCTGTCTGTCTGTCTCTCTCTCTCTCTCTCTCTCTCTGGTGTGAGAGAGAGAGAGAGAGAGAGAGAGAGAGAGAGAGAGAGGAGAGAGATGGTCGACGATGTTACTGTCTCACAGTCAATGTGCATTAAAAGGATCAGATTAGCTGCAGTGATGTGAGTTTCCTGGAAACTGTTGGACTGGAAAATGTGCCTATTACTGTCCATGCTCTTAAATCAATGATGATCTAATTCAATATCTTTATTTGTATTAAAAACACTTTTAAAAATAAGCTATTGCAATTTTGTTGTTGTTAATGTACTGTCTATGGTGACTATATGGGTTAATGACTTCGAAAAGGTTTCATCACTAACAGCCCAGCTTACGTCTTTCAAACTCATGGCCCTGGCTTCATTTAATGAGATCTTCTTTTCCTACCACCATCCACTTTTCCTACCATTATTGTCTTTTCCAGTGACTCTTATCTTCCCATGCTTCATCCAAAGTCATTTTAGCTTCTAGTGAGAATTTAAGTTTAAATGCTATACAAATATCTCAATATTTTTTCTGGGAGTTGTTAAATTGAAATATGTTATTAGGAAAGGAAATAGCAGTCTTGGTAAGGGTTTAAATGTAGCTGAAACATGATACACAAACAAATTGAAAGTCTGGATTGGAAATAGTTTTTACTGGCACATTTATAAATATTTCATTGGCATATTTGTACATAATTTACAATGGCACAACATTATAGCACACTTTCTTTCCCTTACAATGTATTGATTTAAACAAAAACCCATCACTGTGCCCATGCTAGTATTTATTTATTTATTTGATTTTTATACCACCCATCTGGCAGCCAAGGGCACTCAGCGTGGTTTACAAGGTAAACAATAACAATGACAGAATAAACAAAAGTATACAACAATTGCCAAATAAAATGTAAGAAATTGTTACTTTATAACAATAAAGTACACCGTATGGGTTAATGACTTCCAAAAGGTTTTATCACTAACAGCCCAGCTCAATTCTTTCAAACTCAAGTCTGTGACTTCTTTTAATGAGATATTCTTTTCCTACTGCCATCCACTTTTCCTGCCGTTATTGTCTTATTGTATGGTGTAAAATAAAGTACACAATAAAACATCATGAGATAAAATAAAATGAGAATAAACTAAAGTAAGAATAAGAACATGGCGGTAGGTTGGATGTTGAGAGACTGAGATAATATCCGAGAAGGCCTATCTAAATAGCCATGTTTTCAATAGCTTGTTAAAAATTCCCAATGAGGGGGCCAGGTGGATTTCAGGTGGGAGACTGTTAGAGTGTCCTAACCTCTGGCATTCTGGCATGGTTTGGGAGTAGCTCTGTAGCGGACAAAAAAGCTCTACAGAGAACCATTAAAATTGCCCAGAATATCATCGGGCTCCAGCTACCATCCCTGAATGACATCTTCACATCCCGCTGTCTGAGGAAGTTACACAGCATCCTGAGAGACTCTTCCCATCCTGCTTATAACTTTTTTGAACTGTTACTGTCTGGCAGAAGATATAGAACAATTAAGACTCGGACCACATGTTTTCTGAATAGTTTTTATCCCAGAGCTATAATTGAAATTAATAATGAGCTTAAAGACCACCAGTAGTGAATAATTAATTGGACTGTGTTACTTGGCCTGCGGTGTAGATGTTTGTGTTTTTAGTGGGGGACTTTTAGTGGGTGGGGAGTGTTTGGGGAATTTTATGTCTGTGCATGTGTCTGGTCTCTGGGTGTCTGCGAATTTCGTTGTATGGGTATACTGTGTATATACGTACAATGACAATAAATGATGATGATGATGATTGTTATTATTGTTATTATTATTATTCTATAGTTGTGGGGTGACTGCTGAGAAGGCCCGGTTTCTGGCGGTCACTTTTTGGACCTCTCTCTGGATCAGAACTCTCAACCGCCCAGCCTGTAACGATCTCACAGGACGGGCAGATCTAATCAGAAGGAGGCGCTCTGCTAAATATCGAGGTCCTAAAGCATTTAGGGCCTTGTAGGTTAGCACCATCACCTTGAAACTGGTACGGAAGTGAACAGGTAACCAGTGCAAGGCAGCCAAGGTGGGAGAGGTGTTGGTATTTTCTAATCCCACTCAACAACCTGGTTGCCGAGTTCTGGACCCACATAAGTCTCTGTAGCAGCCCCAAGAGCAGCCCCATGTAGAGGGCATTGCAGGAGTCTAGTCTCGAGACTACCAGTGCATGAACTAGCGTGGTGAGGGACCTGGTGTCAAGGTAGGGGTGCAGCTGGGCCGTCTGCCTTAGATGGAAATAGACGGACCACTGACACGATTTGGGATTCCATAGACAGCAGTATGCCCAAGCTGCACACCTCATCTTTCACGGAAAGAGTAGCCCCCCCTGGAAGGAGACGGAGGCGCTCAGACTGCAGACACTAGCCCCCCCCACTCACAGAATTTCCATCTTCTACAGGTTCAGTCTATTATTCCTCATCCATCCCAGCCCAGTGTCCAGACAGCACTCAAGGGATGAGATGGCATCCTCTGCAGAAGGGTAAAAGGAGAGATAGAGCTGGGTGTCTTCTGTGTATTGGTGACACGAAGGCCCTGAATTCCTGATGACATCATATAGATATTAAAGAGCATCAGGGAGATGACTGACCCCTGCAGGACTCCACCATCGAGAGCCCACAGAGCGGACTACACCTCCCCAAGTTCACCTTGTTGGGGACAGTCCTCTAGGAAGGACCAGAGCCAGGCCAAGGCCTGACCTCCGATCCCCAACCCAGAGAGCCTCCCCAGCAGGATATCCTGGTCGACAGTATCAAAGGCTGTTGACAGGCTGAGGAGAACCAACAAGGACGTTTTGCCCCTATTGGCCTCCCTCAGAAGGCCATCTTGCAGGGTGACCAATGCCGTCTCCATGCCTTGACGCGGCCTGAACCCAGACTGGAATGGATCGAGGGCGTTGGTTTCCTCCCGAAGCATCCGGAATATTTCCAGAGTCACCATTAGGCAAAGTGGGACTGTTGCTCCAGGTGGAAAACTCTAGGAGGTGGTGTGTTACCCAAGACGCTTGGCTGCCTCTAAGTGTGAGGGAGGATCATGTCCCATCGCTCGGGTTGAAGATGGGTTCAGCTGCCAGCCCAGCTGGTCTTTGTACACAGAATGGGAGAAGGCGTGAGTTTATTGTTTGCCTCAGGTAGCGAAATAGCTGGGTCAGAATCCTGTTCGGAAAACGCAGAATGGAAGGACAACTATGCACACAGTTTCAGCTCGTTGTCGTTCACACAATCAATGGTGTACCGGTTGTGAAATCAGGTGGGTGACCCTGTGTCTGTGGTTTTTCTCAACTTGATTCTGCCCACTGGGTCAGCCCAGCTTCCATAAATATAGGCACTTCCTTGTGTTATCCCCTCAATAAAGTCAATTACAGCTTTGGGTTTGGACATCAAGAATACTGTATAAGGAATGTAAAATCTCTCAGCTTTTGATCTCATCAACTTTCTTGTGATCACATCTTCATTCTCCTTCTGTCCTTGTTTCATATTAGGTATCAGAGTCTTTTTTTCCCCTTCACACATACTTTCCCACCATTTTTCTAATATGCACATTTACTTTCACATGCTTAGCATATTTTCCTCCCTGTTTAAGGCCTGCTTGTGCATATTATTTCTATTGTATGTATTCTAACTATAGTTGTTACCACAATCTCTTGAGACTGAAGGATGCCTTCAAATTCTATACATATTTTAAAAATATGCATAGCTATGTTCTTACATGCCCCATAAGCCTCACAAATGTGCTAGTTCTCAGGGCACATTTCTTCCTGGACGCTGGGAAAATGCTACTTCCATCGAGATTTCCCAAACGTGATTAATTTTCCCCTCGTCATATATTGTACATTTTCATGTCCAATTTTCTTGGCATTGCATCATTCATAATCTCGCTAATTAACGAAAGAAAGCAGTATGCTCCTAAATATGGAAAATGTTTAATTGCATCATTGGTTACCTGTGAGACCATATTCTCAGAGGGATTGGAAGGTTGGCTTTCCTCCTCCACCTTCGTATGTCCTCCTCGTCTGATCTCCCTTCTGGAAAGTGATTCCCTAGTGATAGAGAGAAAGAGAGAGAGAGAGAGAGAGAGAGAGATTGATCCTTATGATTCCCATCAACCAAGCTCCCTGTTCTTAGATAGATTGGTCTCAACTCTATACTCAACTACAGATCCGCTGATGGCCCCTTTAGACAGTTGCTGTGTGTTGGCCTTGCTTACCATCTGTAAAATGGGAATAATTTGCCTCACAGGGCGATGCCCTGGCAGGTATACTGGGCTAAACCAAAATTCAGATAGGCTGCCAAAGTAGCTAAATTCTGTGCTGCTGCAATCAAAATCCGTGAAGGAAAGGTTCCACCTAAAGCGCAGCTATCTGTAAATTGGTGTATACCAATTTGGTATAATGATCACACGTGCTCTGTGAGTCTCAAAGTAAAAATTCTGTCATTCTATGCAAGCTGCAATAGTCCATAGATAAGGCCTATGATAGGGAGGGTGAAGATATTTAGTAAGATGTATGAATGTAGTTATATATATATATATATGTATATAGATGTTTTTAGTGCTTTTAGATTGATTTAAATGTTTCTTAATTTAAATAATGTAGCTTAATTTTGCTGGTCAATGACATCAATAAAACATTTGATCTGATTT